GGTGCAGGGCAGTCCCCTCTGCAGACTCTAACACACAGTTCTTTGCCCAAGTTTCCTGGGAGTCCCCAGGCCTGGGTCCCTGGTGGCCATCCATGATCACCACTCCTGGGGACCCCTGCATATGCATGTTGTTCTCTGGACAGATTTGGGCGGCTCCTGCTGACCACGAGGCTTGGCCATTTCCTTCCTGAAGACCTCGCTTTTTCCCTAGCAGGAGGTTCAGTGAGCCTTGCTCTGTCATCTCTGGGACATCTTTTGTCAGTCTCATGTTCTCCTTAATTTTAAGCCCCATGGCACCTTGGGGCTTGGAGGAGGAGTGGACTGTTTAAGATGGTTATCTTCGACCCTCCAGGGCCCAGGTGGTGCCCCAAGGCACCAGCACCCTGCTGATACTGCTGAAGACACCAGGACTGCATTGTGATTCTCCAGGCTCATGCTGGCACCCAATCCTGCCAGCTCTGTCATCCACCCGGGGCCGAGGCTCGTGTTAAGACTCAGTGTCTTCACCTTGCCCACAGCCCCCTTCAGTGAGGGTTTATGGTTGTCATGGTGACGCCCAAGGACGCTCCCCCTAGATGGCTCCCAGCAGCAGCAGCTCCTCCAAAGCAGTCACACCCATGGCCTTGACTGTCTTTGTCTGATTATTAATTGAAATATGGAGAGCTAGTTCTCCATGTGGGCACCAGGCACAAGTGTGCCACATCCAGACACTGCTCTGTGGGGGCTATGGCGTCTCTCCTTACAGCTAGAGCCCTGAGGCTAATTAGAGGCTCGCACAGCACCGATCCGATCCTGAGGTCCCTTCAGAGGGGACCCTCTTGCCAATGCATGAGCCTTCAATTGCAGGCTGGATTCTTTGGAGGTGAGGCTGCACTCAGCTGCAGTGACTCCCAGGTCACAAGTGTCTGGAAGATACTGTTTTGTGCTCTCCCTTCCTCCCTCCCTCTCCGCTAGAAACGACAACCAGCAACAAAGTGTTCGTGAAAAATGGGTCAGCGTTCAGATTAATTAGGAGCCAGATTTACGGATGCGGCTAAGAAGACACCCAGCCTCCAGTGCCGGCTCTGCTCGGCTAATCCAGCCCATGTTGATTTTTAAGCACAAATACCAAAATGTCTCTTGACAAATGAGACGTGAAACGAATGAGTTTTTGCACATAAAATTTTAGTGCAAATATGTATTTGGCTGCGTCGGGCACATATGGGGCCTGGGCTGGCTGCCTGGCCCTGCCATAGCTTAAGGATGAAGGTGAAAGCAGTGTTGGCCCCATCCTTCCTGGCATGGGCACAGCAGCCATCAAACAGACACACACTGCCTTCCCACCGCCTTCTGGGGCAACTGCCTCACAGGGGATGGGCCCACCGCGGATGTTACCAGTAAGAGATAGTCATAGTGTCTCCGCAGCCTAGGAGGAGCCTCGGTAATGCCCTGACCTCATCCTCCATCCACCTTGTCTGCTCTGCTCTTAGGCCCTGGAGGCCCACCTGTGAAGTCTACATCTCCCAGGTACCCTTGCCCTTGGATTCCAGGAGGCTTTGGCCAACAGGAAGCCCTGATAGAATAGTGGGCAGGAGGACAGGAGGTTCTTGCTGGGGCACAGTGGACACAATGTGTTTGCCTTGAGGCTGCTGCTCCTCTTGCTAGTCCTGGGAGTCACAGCCCCCTCTGCTGGCTGCTGTAATGCTTTGAACATGTTCATAGGGTCTGCTACTTTCCTCTCAGCTGGACCTCCCAAAAGGGATCTGGAGAGGTCAGGGCTCTTGCTGAGGCATCTATGCTGCTCCTGGCCTGATCAAGCCAGGAAACAGAGACCGAGAGGCCACCATCCCTGTAGCAAGCCCTCAAGTCATGCTGGCACCCAGTTAGAACTACATTCACTTCAGGAGAGGCAGAAAGAAGCTGTGAACCCAGGCTGCCACCTTGACCTATTAAGATATGAACACACTGTCCTGAGGCTGGCAGGTGCAGGTGCCCAAGGCCCCATTCCTGGGATGACCCTGGGCAAAGTGCCATCAGCACTGAACTGACAGAAGGACCCCTTAGCCTACAGGAAGGACAGCACCAATTGTCACACCTTCCATGGGAAATGCCAGGCCCTGGGGCACTCCACTATTGGACCCAGCCCTTGTGGCTATGTCAGGCAGTTAGACCAGCCTTGGCTGGGCTCATGGGTCAAACTTTGGCCAGGGGAAGATGGAGATTGAAGCAGGAATGAGCTGATCTTGGCCTTGCTACCATTCTATGAGCACTACTATCAAGCTCATTCTTCAAGTTCTTTCCTGGAGCTGGCATTGTGACATAGAGGGCTTAAAGCCACCACCCATGATGGGCTCTGGTTCAAGTTCTAGCTGCTCTGCCTCCCTGTTAATTGCCTAGGAAAGAAGCAGAAGATAGCCCAAGTCCTTGGATCTCTACACCACATGGGAAACCCAGAAGGAAGTTCATGTTTCTGGGCTCAGCCTGGCTCAACCATGGCTGTTGTGGCCATTTGGGGGAGTGAGCCAGATGGATGAAAACTCTTTACCTCCATAACTTTGCCTTTAAAAGAAATCTCTTAAAAAGAATGCTTTCTTTCCTTTGGTGCATCCTCGACCAAAGCTTGTACCCAATCCTGTAGTGTCCAGGGGCTATCAGAGCTCTCCTTAGCTTGTCCTCCAATGGCCAGCCACTGAGTTTTATTTTCCTTGCCCCCTCTTCTTCAACCAGAACATCTTAGGCCATGGCAATCACCATGAGCCCATATGCACAGTAACACCACGTTCCCTCTCTGGTCAGGGACTGCCCTGTTTTACAGATGGCTCAGAGGGGTGAGGCAGGTTGCCTAAAGTCACACAGCCAGTAAGGGCTTCAGGTACAACTCACCATGGCCTGTTTCCCACATTCTATACTTACAGCTTGGGGAGGCATTTGAGGGGTGCATCACAACCTGTTATCACACAGTTACAGAGCGAGAGGGGCTTCTCTTCCCCAGTAGCATCAGCTGCCAATCTGGCAGTCCGTCAGCACTTTCCTAACCTACCCACTGCGGGGGACTGAAGCGTCTGGCTCCTCCAAGGGGTTGCTCTTGTTCTGCACGATGAAGACGTGTGGCTGGAAAGCAGCCGCCAAACCCAGGGGCCTTGCATCTAGGTTGTGCTTTCTCGAGCAGCGGAGGGTAGAGGAACTCTTTACCACTTCCAGGCCTGGCCCTTACACACCAAACATGGCCTCCTCCCTTCCCTGTGAGAATGCAGCACTGCCTAGAGCGGCTGCCTCCTCTGTCTCCCAAGGATTTAGGAACACCCAATGTATGGGAGACTGACTCTCCACAAAAAATGTGTGCCTTAGACACAGGTGGGGAACCTTCTCTTGGCCAAGGACTGTGATATTTATAACTTTAGTCGCAGGCCATGTAAAACTAATTTAAAAAAACTTAGACTTACTGCATCTCGACACCCACCTCTGGTTGCAAGTGGTTTCCCAGACCTTACCCCACCCTCCCACGAGGGCTCCACGCTTGCAGGGAACTGGGCCCAGAGGGCAGCTTCCATCTCTGCTCTCAGGGCTGGTGGCATACTGTTTCAAAATGTTCTGGAAAGCCACTTGCTGAAGCTGCTGGCGTTCTAGATTTGAGTTCTAGACCTGAAATTGAGCCCTTGCACCTCCTACTCAACGGAATGACGATGTGGGCAAGAAACAGTATAATTACATGAAGCCATGGACATTCCCAGGTTTATATGTCATGACCCTTAGTGCTAACGTAGGAACTGGAGCAGGCTGAACCTACAGCTTCCTTCTGCGATACCTCCCCCCAGAGCCTGGAGGAAAGTTTTGAGTGTCTCTGTGTGGTACCTAACAGGGATGAGGCCTTCAGACCCAGTCCTTATCCTGAGACTCACTGGGGAGCCTGCCATGGGTGTAGAACGGAGTGAAAAAATGGAACAATGGGCTAGATAAACCGGTGGTCTCACCAGGTTGGGTAAGCTGTTATAATGAGGCCTGCCAGAGGACTCAACAGAGGGGAGCAAACAGGTGGATTCAATTGCAGGGGCCTGCAGGTGGATTCTGTCACACCTGGGAGGTCTGACTGTCCCAAGTTCTCAGGGCCCAGGGGTCAGAGAGATGCTCTCTATGGGCCTCTGCATCACAGGAGATGGGGCACACAGCTCAGGGAGTAAGTAACCAAAATCAGGGACTGCAATGAAAGCTGCAGCCCAGCCCAGCCCAGCAGGAGGGAGGGGGAGGGCCATTCCACTCTCAGCACAGCCCTGAGGGAGTAGCCCAAGCCTCCACCCTGGAATCTCCCACTGGGGTTACAAGCCCCTCCCTGTTTTGCACACTGACCTGGCAGTCCCCCCCCCCCCCCCCCCCGTTTTTCTAATCTGCTCACAGCACATCACACACCCCTTGACACAAACCCTCTGCAACAAGTCTGCCACTGCACAGGGCTTTGCCCTCAAGGGAACTGGAGCTGCAATATACAACAGCATGCAGAGTGCTCAGGGACCATCCCCACCCTGGCCAGAGGCAGCAGAGGCTGCAGAAGGGGCCACCCCCACCGGCTCGGCCCCAGTCTGCACGACCCACCGGGAGCAGCAGAGAGAATGGCGCCCACATTGCAACCACGTCCTCGCTCTCTTAGCCAGGTGCTACTGCCTCGGCCTGCGTGGCCTCTGTCCAGGCTCAGGCTTGAGACATAAGAGCTGGTCCTCAAGGGTCCAAGCTCCAAACCCAAGACGGCGCTGCACACTGCAGCCTCAGGTACACTCCCAGATTGCCCGCACATTCACAGGTATCACGCGGTGACTGAACACAAGCCAACAGCAGACAGAGACACCAGAAGCAAAGAGCCAGGAAACCGCACATCTCGCGAAGTGCGCCGAGACCGCGAGCGTTAGAATCCAAAGGCAGACCTCCTTTTTTAAAAAACTCCTGGGGCAGGATCGCCCTGCGCCCCGGGTCCTGTCGGCCCTCGCGTCCTCCCGACAGCTTGCGTGCCCCCTCGCCCCTCCTGCCCTTACCGGAGCCGTGCCGCTGGCGCAGAAGGACAGCCTGGCCTGGTGGCAGCGACGCCGACGAAGCAGCAGCCGTGGCGATGACAGTGGTGGTGGCCGTGTGCGCCTCGGAGGCGACGGCAGCCTCGGGGACTCTGGGATCCGGGGCGGCGGGAGGGCTCCCGGGCGGCGGGCTCCTGTCACCGCGGCTGGGCTCGGAGGTGGTGCGGCCCGCGGCGCCCGCCGGGTTGGCGTTGGCAGCGCTGGGGGAGCCGTGGCGTCGCGGTCCGCTGCTTTGGATGTGGGACACGGCCTCGGCGGCCTGCATGTTGGGCGGCGCGAAGCGCGAGAGCACGCGCAGCAGCGCCTGGGCTTTGTGCTCCTGCGTGTCGTCGTCGCTGTAGTCCGACACGCGGCATTCGTACACGCCCTCGTCCTGCAGCCGGACGGCCGACAGCCGGAGCCTGTGAGAGATGTCGTTGCCCTGGACGCGCACCGTCTGCAAGAGAGCGGGGTTAGCGGTCTGCCCGGCGGGTCTTTCCGCTGGTGCCGGCAGAGTTAGCCCTCTCCACCCGCGCCGTGCGAGTGCGCCTCCACTCCCCCTCCGCCCTGGGACTGTGCTTCCCCTCCGCCAAGATCCAGCTTCCCGTACCTGCACTTCTCTGGGGCAGCGGGGGATCCAGATCCTGCCTCACCGCGGGGTGGCTCTGCCCCTTGCACTGTGTAGCCAGGTCCCCAGCTTGCATCCCTGCCCCCACAAACCCAGAGTCCGGATCTTCCAGCTGCTTCTCCCTCCGCAAGGCAGCCCCACCCCCACCTTCCTGCTGAAGGGTTCACTGTCCCTCCCGCATCGTTCCCGCGTGGACGCACTCCAGCCCAGCCACTGGCCAAATCTGGCCTTGCACCCTTATCGCACTGGAATGGGAGGCCCTGGGTTGCGTCCCAAGGAGAGCTGGCCCTCACAGGTGCACTTGACCCCGGTCGATCACTACCCTTCAAAGCTAACTCTAGCTTCCCCAAGGACACAGGTGACATTGAGGCTCCCTTCGGCTCCTGGTGGCTGCTCCGAGTTCGCCTTTCGAGGCGTGCTTGGGTAGGGAGCCGCCGCGTGCTCTTCCCAGTGCATCCGGGAGCCCTCACCTCTACAGCGAGCTTATGAAGAAGCCCGGACCTCTCCAGCTCTAATCCTGACCCGCTCAGCTGAGAAGGCTCCAGCATTTCTCCCAGAGTTACAAAACCCGTGACCTGGGCTCCGTGCATCCTAACAAGACTCCCCAGAATCGTGCCCCGCGCAAGCTTACAGCACGCAGTGCCCACACCTGCGAGCCCACCGAAGACGGAGGGTGTCGGCGGGGCGGAGGAGGGCGCAGCCGGAGCGGGGTCGTGGTGAGGGCTAGGGCGAGCGACCGCAGGGGAGCACCACCCGCCCAGGACTGGCAGGCGAGCGCGCCAGAGTTTTACAGTGAGCACTGAGCTGAGCACTGGAGCCTCGGATTCTCGATCGACACAAAAGAGAACCGAGCTCGCTGCTGGCGACAGATGGCGCCGCGGAATGCCAGGCAGCCGCCAAGGCGCGGCTGCGAGCTGGGCTGCGAGTTGCCAGGCCGCCGGCGAGGCCTGCTAAAGGGGAGGGAGCTGCGGGGCGCGAAGCGGCCGGAAGGGGTCTCCCGCGGGCCGCGCTGGGCTCCACACTTACGCTGATTTTAGTTGCATCCTTATTTGTTACCTAAAATGCAGGGAGGGAGAGGAGAAACAGACATTAGGCTCGCGTGGCCTTCGGCGGCTCAGGGGTTCCCAGACTCGGATTCGGGGTCCCAAACCGCCTCGGGGTGTGGAGGGAATTGAGGGCACGGAGGGCGGAAGGATTTTCAGAGTTGATCCGGAAGGAAGCGGAGTCTGCAGCTAGCAGGATGTGGGACCGTGCTGAAAAGGGGGCTTGGCCGCCCGCCACGATGGGAGGGGAAAGGGGGAGACCCTCGCCCTGGCTCCCTAAATCCTCCGTGTGATCTGGAGCCGAAAAACCCGCTGGGCGGTTCGGTGTGTGCGCAGCAGACCCGGTAAGCCTGAGAGAATGTAGGTAGGTGCACAGGTAGGTGTAGGTATAGGTGCGTGTGTGCGCGCGCTCTAGCCTGCGTGTACAACAGCATGGCCTGTGAGGCGACCTGGGGAGAGTGGGCCGGGGGGTGCCGCCCCTCGAACCCCGGGGCGCTGGAGGTGACTGGCCGGCCTCCCTGCTAGCCCGGAGGAGCTTCGCTTCTTGGCCCGGTGCCCTGGGATTCTCAGAGCGGCAGGGCGCAGCGGAGCCCTGCTGGACAGCGGTGTATGTTTGGGGAGGGGTCTTCCCTCATTAGACCCTGGGCTCGAGGCTCGTTAGAGCAGGTGACCCGCTCTGGCTTTTAGGATCCCGGTGGGAATGGCGTTGCGGGAGAAAGGACCCTGTCCAGAGAATCAGGATTTGGCGGGGGTGGGTGGTGGGGGGAGCCAGCGGTTGACTTTGAAGAGGACTGGAAGCGTGCCGTGCGGTCTTCGCCAGTCCCGCCGGCGGCCTGCCCGGGGTCGCCTTCGCCACCCCCTGTAGGTTACCTTGCTCCGGGCGCCGGGCACGCTGAGCGCCAGCTCGTGCAGCAGTTCCCGGGGCGGCTCCTTGAGGTACCACCACTGAATCTCCAGCGAATACGAGGTGGCCCCGCTGGCCCGGAACGCGCACGGCATCTCGATGTCGTCTCCCTCCCGTACTGTCACATCTTTGGGTACTTCAGTGAATGTAGCTGGGGGCGGGGTAGGGATAGGGGAAGAGAGGCGTGACTAGCTGGAGGGCGGGGGCCTGGGGCAACCCCCATCAAGGCGAGGTGCTCCCTCCGGGGCTAGCTGGCCTAGTGCCGCCCCCACTCCCACCCTCGCCCCCTCCGGCGACTTGGTAACGCACGGCCCGCGGCGCTAAGCAAACTTGGGTCGGGCTGCTGCGGGGTGGCAGCAGGCTCCGGCCAGAGGCTGCAGACCCGCTTCCCTCCGGAGCGGGAGGGGCGGCTCAGGTCTCTCACGCGCGCTGGGCCGCACCCCCGGGGCCAGGCTGGGGCTCCCGACTCCCGCTCTCAGCAGGCCGCCTTGCCGCAGCTCGAGCCCGCCGGACTCGGAACGCACCGGGCGCGGGCGCTGCGGCGACCCTTCACGGCTCTCCTCGCCTAACCCTCCGCGAGCGCGAGCTGCACACCGCGATGGCTGCAGACAGCTAGAAATCTGCCCCTTCTCTTGTTTCTTCGTGGCGGCCCCGGCCAAGGAGACCCCGAACCCACCGCCGCAGCAAAGTTCCCGCGCTCACCGTCGGCCACGAAGAGCAGCAGGGCGTGCAGCAGGAGAGGCGGCAGGTATCCGAGGGCGCCGCGCCGATTCCGCTGTTCCATCTCCCGCGGGGGGCGCGGTGGCAGCGGGGGCCCGGGCGCGGAGAGGCGGCGATGGCAACAGCGTGGGCTCCAGCTGCGGCTCCGGTTCGGGCTAGGACGCCTCGGAGCCTGCCATGGCCCCGCGCGGCGCCCCCTCCCCTGGCCGCCGGCGGCCGCCAATCAGCCCCGCTCTCTCGCCGGCTGGCCCGGCGCGGCTCCGGCGGGGGGCGCTGCTGGGGGGTGTGCAGGAGGCTAGCGGGGGTCCGTCAGTGCCTCTCTCGGTCTGGGTGTCCACAGGACGGTGCGTAGGGTGGGTGGGTGGGGGGGATGGCGGTGAGACGCGGTTCAGTCTCCGCCCGGCCGAACCGGCAGGGGCCGAGCTGCGCCAGGACCCATCCCTGCCCGGGAGAGTGCGCGCCTCCGAGCCGCGAGCTTCTACCCTCCTCCCGGTCTCCTCCTGGTTCGGCTTCCGACTGCCACCTCCTCCAGCTCCCGCCGAGCTCTCCCGCCGCCGCCCCCGCCGGCTTCTCCGCGGCTCTCTCCGCGAGTGGGCGCTCAGCCGCGGCGCGCAGACCTGGCGTCCGATCCAGCGCAGCGCGGGGAGAGCGGGACCGGCGTGGCAGACCCGGAGCCGGGGAGAGGCGGGCGGGGGGGAGGGGAGGAGCGGGGAGGGGAGGGAGGGGGCGGTCAGTGGCTGGGCGCCGAGCCGCCTCCGCTGCTGCACCACCCCCGTCCTCCACCTCCCCTCCCCGCCCCTACCTTGGAGCGCATCCCCCCGCCTCAACGCGGGGGTCGCTCGGAGGGACCACAGTCTCTCTGGTTGGAGCGCAGCCCCGCCCCGCACCCTCTTTGATTGGGGGTCCTCCCACCCAAACTCTCCTGGCTTCTTCCCAGTCTCCATCGCTCGAGACCGCCGCTCATTCCTCTCCTAGCGTGTCCTGCGGCCCTCTCCGCAGCCTCCCACCCAATACCCAAGCCCTCAACTCCTTACCCTGATTTGGGCAACGAGCGGCACCGCTCTTTGGCCCAGGCCAGGGCCATGGCAGGCAGGTGGGCGCTGGGGACCAGGGAGAAGGGCGGAGCGCCGTTCCGGGCCAGGGATGCAGCCGGGTGACGGCGGCGACGCCGAGAGTCTGCAGTGTTGTGAGCAAGAAGTGAGCGCACGGCGCCGGGCGAGCAGGTTCCTGTGGCGCGGAGAGCGCCCGGGCGAGCCAGCCAGCAGCGGCCGTGAGTGACGGCAGAGGCGGCGGGGATGGGGTGGGGTGCGGAGCGCCGGGCACGACTCCGGGCCCGGGAGGTTTCTGGGCGGGGGCGGGGTTCCTGCCCCCAATCGCTGGTCCCTGCTCCCCACCCGCTCTTCGTGAGCCCCTGCCCCCTCTTTACCCAGCGCTAAGAGGGGGTCCTGAGAAGGAGGGAGGCAGAAATTGAGTCCACAGTAGCGTTCGGGAACCAACCTCCCCGTCTTGCGTTCCCCGCATTCCGTGACCGCCCCAGCGCCCGGAGCCCGCCCTCTCCCCCGCCGTCTGAGGGAACGCGGCTTAGCTCGGTGAAGCAAAGCCTGGGGGCGGACCCGTCACTGGGACCGAGCAAATAGTGGTTCAGGAGAGAGCCTCAGGGTTCGGCCAGGCTCTCTCCGTTACCGTCCTCGGTGGGGGTCCCCAAGCAGTGGATTTCAGCGTCTTTGTTGGGGGGGGGGGACACCTCAGCAGATCTGCGCGCCTCCCTGGCAACTCGGGGGTGCTCTGTGAAAGTACTTTCCAGCAGCCACTAGGGTCTAGGCAGGCTGCGCACAGCGTAGGAAGGGGAGAGGGTGCCAGCTCTGGCCAAGCTCTGCCCTCAGCAACGCGGCGCCCCTGGACAACGCCCTTCTTCCCGCCTGGACCAAGGTTTCAGTTTCCTGTGTATGGTCAAGGAGTTGTGTCTGTCCCCATCACTGTTCCTCCCAAAGCTTCAGTGGCCAAGACCTCCCCTTTCCCCAGTCCTTCTTTAGAGGCCACAGAGCATTCGCAAGTGCCTTTTGTGCTTTCTCTGCCACCTGCCTGGAGCTTGCAGGTGGTCCCGTTGTGAAGACCCTGCAGGGCCCTGCTGCTGTCCTCCGCTTCTGAAGGGAGGGGGCAGACTTGCACTGTGCTATATAGATTCAGATCCCACGTGGGAGGCAAGGAAAGCAGATTGCGATTGGGGCCTAATTCCAGGCGAGGGCTGTGATGGCAAGAGCTAGCTGGTTGTTGGGCTGGGCAGAAGCTTGCTAGGAAGACTGTGGTCTCCCCTCGTGGTGCCATGTCTCAGTGTAGGTGGATGGCCAGTGGTTAGAGATGTGCCAAGGGGGGCAGGTTCCTGCAGAGAGAGGCAGTTCCACCGTAGTCACCTTTGAGGTTAGCGGATCTTCCCCACCTGAACCAGCTTGTGGGTTAAGGTGTTTCTAGCCTGCTGTTTGAGTTGGTGCTATTAATAACGAATAATTAGCCATATGTCATCACATGCTTTTTTCTGTACCAGGCGCTGGCTACACACTCTCCAGGCACCAGTTCTCAGGATGACAATGGAGAGATCCTTTTCAAACAGAAACCACAGAATTCTGCAGTAGCTCCCACGTTGCTCAGCACAGACACTGGTGGCCCGGTCGTGGCAGCCAGGGTCAGACCATCTGTTTCTGCTTTCCCATACTTCCACCTGTGGCTTCATCTCATTTTCTCTTTCCTTTCTCTGGCTTACACTGCCCTGGCCACACTGTCCTCCTTTCTCTAAGGGGTTGGATTGGATGTGCTTCTACCCCAGGGCCTTTGCATGGGCGGTACAAGCTTCCTGGGATGCCCCTCCCTGCATGCATGTGTTTACTTTTTGGTAACAAGGCCCACCTGGGCCACTGTATTTAACCATGATTCTGCATCCCGGCCCCTCACTCTAATTCCTCTCCATGTCCTGCCTCACTTTTTTGTTTGTTTGCTTTTGCACTAAGCACTTCCAACATGAGATGTGATACCCTCATATGTTGTGCTCCTTGAGGTGTGCAAAACTTTGTTCCCGATGTCTCTCCAGCACCTGAACGGGTCCTGGCACATAGCACTCCTAGCTGTGGAGTAAGTGAGCTCAGCTCATCCTGGTGACAAGCCTGCAGTGTAGACACCGGGCGGGGCGGGGCAGGGTCATCCTGAAGCTCAGAGAGTTCATGCAACCTGCCTGAGGTTACACAGCTACTGAGTGGTCAAGTCCCACTTCAGTCCAAATCTGTCTTTCTCAGGGATCTTCATCTTTAATTAGAACCTCCCATTCTCTCCCCTAGGTGAGACTCTGATACCTGCAGGTAGCATAGCAAACAAGGCCTCTGACCTTACCCTGAAGCCAGCCAGGACCAGCCCGAGCTGTGTCTTGCCTGCCCAGACAATGCTGTAACAAGAGGGCCGTTCTTATGCCGCATCTTGGAGAACATCTTCACTGTGTCTATACCTTCCAGCTAGGCCTGACCACAGTTAGGGCCTCCTAACTTCATACCAGGAACACAGCCTGCTGGGGAAGGGGTGCTTTGCCCTGCTTGGCTGGACCTTCCTGCTGTCAGAGGAGGGCCTTTTTCTGCTTAGCCCCGGGCCTACAGAGGCAGCTCCTGCCAGCCCGTGCCCCTCACCAGCCCGAGCTGGAGGCTCTGCAGCACGTGTGCTGCTTCTCCCAAAGAGACATTTCTCTCTCAGGGCATGGCACTCACCCTGCAAATGGCAGGTGGTCCTTGGTTCCCCATGCAGATGCCCTGTTCAGAAGTGATGGTTGGCAGCAGAAAGTGAAACAGGAATCCCCTGGTGGACTTTGGGAACTTTCTGCAACTACTTGTGTCCTGCTTCTTCTTCAGTAAGTAGTGACAAGCGTTCTCCGCACTCCCCGTAACCTTGGCCCTCAAGTACTTTTGGAGTCACTACTTGCAAAAAACTTGGAGATGAATTCTTGCAAAACCTGACTAATGGAACCACAGTTCACATGGCCTGCCTGGTTGCCTGAGGGCTGGAGATGCTGGGGCCTTGCAACAGGTACCCAGCTGTGGTGACTGCTGGCCCCCGGCATGGTCACTGTTATTGTAAGGCAGTGCTGTTGGGCTGTGAGTTGAGCCATGTAGAACTTGTCAATACCATTTTGTAGATTCAACCTCCCCCATCCCAGTCTCTTAGATGCACTTCAACTAGTGCTATTTAAAAGGACTGGCCAGCCTCTTGTGAAAACACCGTTAAATTATAGTCCTATGTGGAGGCTTTTCCTGGAATTCACTGCCATATTTTGCTTATTTTAATGCTCAGGTCCTCTCGGTGTTTGGGTGGGTTTTGATATTCTTGTCTGGACTGACCTCTGCCGCCCTCCCCATGCCACACACAGCGGCATTGATTTTGGGTAATGTATTTTTGATTTTTAAGATGCAGCCCATCCATAAACTTTTCTATCAATAATAGTGGCACACTCTGTGTACTCGACAGCTTAAAGGAAAAGATCAGATTTATGGGGACTTTTATTTTTAGCCAGTTTAGCCATTCGCTTGTCATCAGTGTCAGGGAATGAAAGCCTGAAGTGTGGCCTCAGGAAGTCTGCTCTCAAGGACACCCAAGAGGCCAGCAAGGGGTGGGAGACCTGGCCTTGTCATTGTGTCCTCTGACCCCCACTTTACCTTGACCTTGGCACTTGCTGTGCCTCTTGGGTGGGAGGGGAATAAGTGAGATAACTCATGTTTGGGGCTCCTGCTTACTCCTCTATCCACCACCCCCAATTGGGAATGCCAAACCCTAAGAGGAAGATAGCAGGGCAACATGAGGGGGCCCCTGCCATCCTGGTCCTCTGACGACCATGCCGGAGGCAGCCTGTCCCTCTGCATGTGGCCTTGGCAAAACAGGCCTGGATTGTGGTCAAGTGGGGCTCAGCTAGCCCAGAGAGGGGACACACAGCTGTCAGGCCCCAGGGTCTAGCCCACCATTGGTCACTGCTGAGGCAGTGTCCCTGTGCTGGGTCCCTGGAGCCTGGGGCTGTTTGCTTGTCAGAGACAGGATGGATTGGCCCTGGGGGTTGTGTAGAGAAGAAATGAAGGGGGGAGAAGCCCCAGGCAGAGCCTGTTTTGCCTTAAACATGCATTTAGCCAACATGTCCAGGGAAAGTGACAATTCCTGAGTGACCATTCCTCTCTCCAGTACCTGGCTGTGGACATCTACTCATAAGTGTGCCTGGTAGTGATGATGTCACAAGACGAACAGGTTCCTGACAAACGGGGATCCTGCTGGCAGGGATATGCCCTTGAGCCCAGAATGGGGTGGAGACAGGCCCAGTGAGGGAGCAGAAACCAAGACTGGTCATTCCATCTGGGGTACTGTGTATGCACATGTACACACACACTCTCTCCCTCTCTCTCTCTCAGTGGGAAGGCTGGTGCTTCAGGGGTCAGCCAGCCACAGATCTGGGAGTGGGGAGAGTATTAGGCACAGTAAGTCAAAAGCCATGGGTGGAGTCAGGTGGGGTCAGAGGGGAGACAAGGTAGGTGATGTGCATGGGGCCTTGTGCCTACAGAAATAAGGGGTTCTGTGCTGAGAAGAGGGGCTCAGAATTGAGTATGACTTGGCTCTGCCAGATCCTCAGGGGATCCCCGCATCTGCAGGGGACCTTCAGGCAGGGGGTAAGTGGGTCCCACATGGCAAGGTTCAGTGGCAGCACGGAGTACAGCTGGGACTGTTTTGGATGGTCAGGATTGGGGGTGAGGGTGGGCCTCTCAGATGAGCAGCTGCCTGGCATGGAGGTGGCAAATCTGAGGCCCTGGATGGGACAAAGAACACTGGAGGAGTTTGGGACACCTCCCTGCCCAGTCAGTACCACTATGGTGTTTTGGAGGGGGCGCCCTGTGGGCCCCAGGACAGGGCCCAGATTGCCTCCCCGACCCTTCTCGGTGCCCTGTACCTCCTTCGTCTCACTGATAAGCCTTGGAGCTCTTGGTTTGGCTGGGAAAGTCGGAGTTTTGCTGAGTGTAAAAGAAAGCAAGGCCCTGCCTCATGGAATGGCTGAACAGCCATTGGGCTGCTAAGGGGAAAGAATGGAGCCGAGAAAAGCAAGTGGCCACAGGGCTTGGGAGTCCCGTGGACCTCAGATGGTGGGCCCTGATTTTTTTTTCATCTGTTGGAGCTGTGCTGGCATGGCTGGCTGCTGAGAGTGAATGGGTGGACCACTTTGAGGCAGGCGGCTGAGCCCCTGGGGTGTAGCTTTAACAGCAATGGTACACA